AGGAGCAGATATCTCCTCAAAACTTATGGATTTTAGAAATAAATGGATACAAACATAGACTGAAACACACGTCTGCAAAATTTCGCATGGCTTAACAACATAAATTACGGTCCTACCTGGCTACAAGCTAAACCTGCACTTAGCGAGTGCCATAGCAGCGTAATGGTGCGTTATTGTTGATATTCTGCGCGACAATGTGTGACATTTGTACGAATCTGTCATATGCTAATTCGATATTCACCCTTTAACCCACAGCAATGCTCTTCCCACCACAAAAAGTACTGTTGTTCACCCGCCTCCCCCCAAATTTCCTCGCTCTCTCTCTCTCTGTAAATGTATTGCAGGCTTAGATGTTTAGGCCTAATCAGACGGGAGTCGTTCTATTCCAAAGAAAATTGCACCAATAATATTGGTTGACGCGTAAAAATTGAAAACTCCTTATCATGAAATGTCCCGGGGTGGCGCAGACGGTATAGCGACTGTCTACGGGCTGGACGACTGAGGGGTCGGAGTTCGAGTCCTGGTAGGTTCAAAGAATTCTTTTCTCCAAATCGTCCAGACCGGCTCTGGGGCCTATCCAGCCTCCTATCCGATGTGAAGGAGAGGCTCCTTCCCCGGGGGGGGGGGTAAAGCGGAATGGGCGTGAAGCTGACCTGTCTCCTCCCTCCAGCTAGTGCCGAGGTCAAGAAAATGTGGATTTATACATCCACTCCAACATACGCCTGCATGGTTAGTACTGAATTCTTTGAGCACAGGGACAACTTTACCTTATCATGAAATATTCCACTCCATCTTCTCTCTTAGGTTTTAATGCTTTTAACACTTCAAAGCACAGTGGTAACTATACGTGTAACGTACTTGAACATCAAAAAATTCTGCATTTTTTCCACACGCTGGATTTATGCGTTCCGTATGATTCTCATAATAAACAGAGATTATTTCCCCAAACATCATTAACCGGTTGGGAGTTGTTATGGAGACGTTATGTGTTTCCTGTGAGGTACGAACTGAATTTATATATACTGCATTCTGCCCACACACAGTATTTGTGTTCCGTATGATTCTCACAATAAACAGCGATTATTTCCCTAAACAGAATTAACCGGTTGGTCTTTGTAATGGAGACGTAATGTTTTCTGTGACATATGAAGTGAATCTCTTTTAATGTGTACTTACGTGAACATTTATACCGATTAACATATGTGACGAATACATCACTTTGACACAAATAACTAAAGAACATTATCCTTATCTTCTGACTGACCAGGAAAGCTATTCATTTTGGACCCAAAAATGATGCCTCTTGGTAGGTGTACTGACAGTTGATTCTTCGGCACTTACAGTTCATCCTTCATAGGGGTTAATCGGCAATAAATTTGCAGTCACTTCAGCACAGCATAAAAAGAACAAAGAGATGTGCATGATGCTAGGATGTTGTCAGCTGAATAATGTGGGGTAACCTTTATTTATACATGCAGCTGGGCCATGCTTTCAGCGGGAACACTTTTACATGTTAAAACTGTTCAGAGACAAAAGATTTGCGTTCCGCGTCAAAGTGTTGTGAACCGTCGATTTAATCTTTAAACATGAAACATGAAGCAGCCTTTGTGACTGCAGTAAGTGGACATATCTGTTCCTGGTTAACCCTCTAAAGCACATTGGTTACTCTATGTACTACCTGCTTTAACATTAAAAAACTCTGCATCTTACCCACACAGTGTATTTACATGTTCCATATGGTTCTCACAATAAACAGCGATTACTTCCCTAAACAGCGTTAACCGGTTGGGCTTTGTAGCGGAGACGTAATGTGCTTCCTGTGAGGTACGGACTGAATTTATATATACTGCATTCTGCCCACACAGTGTATATATGTGTTTCGTATGTTCTCACAATAAACAGCGATTATTTCTCTAAACAGCATTAACTGGTTAGGCTTTGTAGCGGATACGCAGTGTGTTTTCTGTGAGGTACGAACTGGATTTGTTACATTATTTATGACAAAATCGGATCATGGATCTCGAGGAGACTGAAGCCAGGAATGACTGTACTGGCGAAGGCCAGTACCGACCGATCGCATTGCCTGGGAGACCTCGAAGTCGGAAAATGCTTCTCTCGCGCTTAAAATGTCTTTGTTTCTCCCCCACTTCCTCGTCTCTCTTCTTCTTCTGCTTATTCGTGCCGAGTAATGAGCAACATAAGGTGAACCTACATACCAACTCAAGGAGTAGAGCCCTTTTTTAAAAATTGAAAGTTGCACATATATTCACGAAGTTCCCCGCCCTTTATGGAACCCAAAGCCTCATTGCCGCGTCCACATAAATCCACCATTGGTCCTTATCCAGAGCTGAACTTCACGCCATTAAGACGTACGGGGAAGGAGAGGTATAGAGCCGAGCATTCTCAGCCTCAGCAGTTGACTGGGCTGAGTGGTCATCTTCACGCCCCCCCCCCAACCTCATTCCCATGAAGGAGCTCCTAGAACCAACTTGGGTAACCCTCACAACGGCTGAAGAGAAAAATTTCTGCCGCCGTCTGGAATATAACCCCGAATGTCTCGCAGTCAAAGCTGCAGCTTTCACTGAGTATACGTGTACATGACTGAATATCGACTAATACTGCTCTCCTATGTATGTCCAGGTTACACAAATGTCCTGTTTTCCAAATGACATTTAATCCCATTATACTCGAGCTAATTCTCTTACTGTGGACTTCAGTCCTGCTGTGATACGAGACTTCTGATTTTTCAAGTTCCAAATAGTCCCTACCGAGCATAATATTCACACACACACTTTTTCATAAATTAAAAAAATACATACTTCCATTATAAACCCTTTGCGTGTGTCTTCGTTCACATGACCTACCTTAGCTTCCCCGTGCAGAAAAACTGCACTACAAGTTGCTATACGTCACATTACGATCTACTAGACTAGTGTAAACGGTTACCATGGTTACTATATAAAACACGTGAAGTTTACAATATAACTCATTGTTGTCACGATCCCAACGCTTTTCTTAAAAAGGAAGTAAATTAGTTTGAACTCGAACCCACACACGTAACTGCAGCCATCTTTCTAAATGGAACACCTCTCCTCTTTACTTATTCTTTCTCAGATGCGCCCTTTGGGAGAACCTGGGTGGGGATGACGTGTACAGTCCAAGTGACCATGGCCTCAACAAATTTCCTGGAAATGTAACAAGCAAACCCCACGGAAGAGCTGCATCAGATCTGCAACTCCAGTCCGCGGCTTTGCGTCGCTACGTGACGGCCATGTCAATATATTAGCGGAGAATTGGCATGGAAACTGCGGCTAAATACAAGCAATTCCATTTTCAAAATTAACAGAATCGGATAAACCATGAGGTAGCGCTTTGGGGGGGGGGGATTCGGAATAATTAATACGTCAAATGTGTATTTCTTACTATTTTATCAGTTTATTTACATATATAGGCTACCTTGGTTTCGATTCCTGGCAGGGAGAGATTTTTCTCTTTTGCACAGCGTCAAGACCGATTTGGGTCCTTTCAGCCCATGGAATGGGTACCTGGGGTCTTTACAAGGTGGTAAAGAGACGGTGGCGTGAAGCTGACCACTCACCTCCGTCTACTGCCAAGGTTAAGAATACATGGTCTTATACCTTTACTCCACCATACATCATCATGGTATGGCGTCTAATTAACCACTGGGACAACTTAACCATACATAAGATATTCCCTGGGTGTTTATTTCTTAGACTGCAAAATTCCCGTCACGGTTTTCATCACCTCCTGACTACAAGTCAGAAGCGGCACTGCCTGAAAAAGCTCGCTTTGTACCATTTTGTACTGAGTATTTATTTTCCTCGTAATATCTTGACTCATTACATCCCGTTCCAGCACTAATTATCCAGTAATCTTCTACAGGCTTAGCCTGTTTGGGAGAACCTGGTGTTTGTTATACGTGCGGGCTGCATTCTAGAATATATCCGCGTATATAGAAAACGCGTAAAACGAACGCACTAAACAAACACTGAGCACAGTAGAGTAGGTGAGGACTGGGTGAAAACAGGAGTCGAGAAACTGCGCGCGCAACTGAGCACGCGCGGCAGCTTCATCCCTGGCCGTGAATAGGCCATCGATACACGTAATGAAACTGTAATGCTACCATGGATAAGCTAAAATGCGAATAAGGAAAACGCGTATAACTAGAACCGCCTGTAATGACGTGTTGGGTGGTTATAAAACCTGCAGAATAAACTGCGAGATAGCGAACTCGCTGTTGGATAGCTGACGAGCCTTGCCATAGCATATACACTGCTGCTAGTAAATCTCTCTCCTTTATCCGAATGTGTGTTCGTGGGGGATTAGAAGTCTGTGGCCGCGTAATTGCAACAGGGACACGTGACTGGAATACTTCTCTGTCCAGTCAATAGTGCTTCTCCAGATAATCACATATACTATCCACTTTGAGAATCGTGAACCTGCAGGAACTAGCAAATTCGAACCTGATCCATGTCTACAAAATCATCAAATATAATTCACGATGAAGGAAGCAGTCTTCTGGGATTTGGCACCGTGTATTTGTGGTGTTAACCGACGTTTCGGAGGAACGTATCGCCTCCATCTTCAGGGTAGAAGAAAAATATTAGAAATCTGCAAGCGAAGAGGCCGTGAGAACCGGTCTGCTTTTACCGGTTCTCACGGTCTCTTCGCTTGCGGATTTATTATATTTTTCCTTCTACCCTGAAGATGGAGGGGATACGTTCCTCCGAAACGTCGGTTAACACCACATATACACGGTGCCAAATCCAAGAAGACTGCTTTCTTCATAGTCACCGCCGTGAAAGCCTCAAATCTTACATAATTCACGATGTTACAGGAAATGGTTTGTTAGTTTCTAACAGATGAGAGCGGAGAACCAGGGACGTGGTGAGAGAAGAAGAGACACACAAATATCTTTGAAATGTAATTTTATTTACAAATTAGCTCTTTGTTTCTTCTATTATAATATATTATGCGGTAGTAAAGAATAAAACAAAAAACATATTAACCCTTTCAAGCAAAGTGGTAACTATATGTACCACCTGTTTTAACATTAGAATGTTTGCATTTTGCCCCCAAAACATTTGCTATAATGTTCATACTAAATAAAGATTATGTCCTTAAACAGCATTAACAGGTTGGTTTTTTCCGATGCAGAGGCATGTGTTTCGTGTGCGGTAGGAACTACGAGTAAATTTCAGAATACAGCGTTTTCATTATAAGTCGCCGTAAAACCTATCATAAGGTTCCCCGAACCAGTGTCGGCCGGATGGCTTCCCAGGTACGTTCGCAGCGTCATAAATTGAAGATACTGTCTAATTTACAAGAATTTGATGCTTCAAAGGGTTAAATATCTTATTTTAGACACAGCCTAAATGACAAAGTGGTGTCATTAGAGTAAAACTTAAAAAGCGACGTATTTATAGAAAGACGAGAAATTAAAATGAATTTCTTTTTCTAAGTTATGAGAACATTCCGAACACAAACACAGTTCAAAACATCCACTCCTTAGTAATGTACACTACTGCATCACCAGACAAAGGCCTGTCAGAATTTTTCTCTTCACTTCTTAAGGTACACAACTGAACTATTGCTTGATAGTCTTTTGTTATGCTATGAGAACCATCTAAACAGAAATATCTCCTGAAGTTGAATCTCTTCTACTTGACAGTAAACTGGAACTCCCCCAAAGACGACTCCACAGTGAAGACGCAGTAAAAAAAAAAAGAGGCACAGACTATAACTGAATTCAAAATTATGACTAAAAAATTAAAAAAGCACTTTGAACTTGTAACTTGAATTAATTTATGTAATGATTACAGATTTCAGTACAGTTACTGCTGAACTGTATACTATTTGTTGTCTAATTTTGGGGCGCTTACTTATTTATGACGATGGATACAACAAAGCTCTACTGATAAATTAAAGTATTCACTTCCGGTTTATATTAAATTATCTTTGCACGTAATTACTTACTAAAAAGTAACAGATGTATGGCACAATTTTCAACAAATAAAACTATCTGACGAGACTTGATGTGTATTCTATATTTCTGTACAAGAAACAGTACTACCTGTCAAAGTTAGCACAAAATCTGACGGTATCACTGGCTCTTTCGTCATAGTTGCAAGTGGACTAAATATTTTGTTTTTTGTTTTAAGTTTCCCTCGAATGACACAATGCATTGAAGTTTCCCTGTCCCCGGCGTCGTTTCGCCACTAGTTAGCTAGATGGAGACACAGTACGCTGTTCACTTTCCGTGGAAAGGTTCGCAGTTCCAACAACTGCAGCGTTTGGATCGCTAGTAGGTGCTGGCGGGCTTTGTAGGGCACTGCATGGATTCATGCTGGTGACATTGTTTGGAGTCTTTGTGCCTGTACAAGATGACGCCGGCGACGATGTAGGAGACCTACTTGTAGTTCGCTCACTTGCCGCTACGTTCACTGTAAGATTTGTCGCTACTGTCAATACTTGTTGTCTCATTGAGTCCGATTCTGAGAAGCAACCTTCCGATACGGAGCCATCCGCTGTGAAGAGGGAAGCGTTCGAATGTTCTTCGGCACTACTGGGGGAAGCCAATGGGGTTATGGGCCCCACGGCGACGGGCGTTGGGTCCACCCCAAGTGTGGGAGGTTTCACTAAATTTATTCCGTTGTTCACTTTAGTCACGGATGTCACTGATGATGGCACCTGTGGCACAGTTACGGGGGATGGCACTATCGACGTTTTGGCGGGCGAGCAGGCTTGTGACACAGCCGTGTTCTTGCTGGCCCCATCCTTGGCATGATGCTTAGTCTCCTGCTTGCCCCCGGACTGGTTCTTGTGCTCCGCGGCCTCTGCGTTGCTAATGTTATCCTGCTTCTTCCACTTGGTGCGACGGTTTTGGAACCAGATCTTCACCTGAAACAGCCAAAACGAACGAGTAATGAAACCGACGTTCTTAGGAAGACGAATACTCTAAAATCGCGGGTTTTCTGTGATGCGACATTGTGAGGTCTCATAGGTAGGTAACAACATTTCGCAGGAACCTGCTGCTTCTATTTTCACGATAAGATGCCACATCTCAGAAGACCGGTTATGACATTCTCAACAGAAATCACCAAAATGCAACCCGAGCTTCGTTATCTGATATGAATTAACACAAATTTTGCTTTTAATCACCCATGGGAACGGCTGTAGGAATTTGTTCTTGGCCTCAAATGAACACAGGCTACAATGTCTAAACGCACTGTAGGACGAATGGGGGGAGACGAGGAATGCGTATAGGATATTGGTGGAAAAGCCAGAAGGAAAGAGACCACTGGGAAGACCAAGGCGTAGGTGGGTGGACAATATTAAAATAGATCTTAGAGAGATAGGATGGAATGGTATGGATTAGACTGGTCTGGCTCAGGATATGGACCAGTGTAGGGCTCTTGTGAACACGGTCGGGTTCCATAAAATGCTGGGAAATTCTTGAGTAGCTGCAGAATTGGCGGCTCCTCCAGAAGGGCTCAGCTCCATGAGTAAGAATGTATGTTTAAACCCACTGCCTCTGAACCTTTTAAAGCACGGTGGTTACATGCTTTAATATGGAAGATAGGACCGTTCAGTTCTTAACGGTACAGCTACTCTTACACACTGCACACGGCACGGTATACTGACAGGCTGACTCGTGGGTTCCCACTACAAGAAACCCAAAGCAACATTACAGTACACTGGGCGGGCAGCAAGTATAGACAGTGTCACGTAACTTCGAACAAGGCCCCGCATTCCTAGTCAAATCCCGCGCATAGCTTGTAGTGGGAGGAGTTTCTTAACACTCGTTCTTCCACTGACCGCCTGTCACTTCTCACACCCTCCACCCCCTTGTCTGAAATTTTTCTTCTGCGCATTCAAGGTTACTCTTGGCCTTGTTCGAAGTTACGTGACACTTGCTATAAGTGCTTACCTGCAAGGCAGCCTCTTCCGCTCCAGCGAAACTTTCATGCATTAATGGCAAGACCAGCTTTTCAACAAAACAAGAATGTTAATAAATAAAAGAGGGGACACTTCAGCCAAGCTCGGTAACTCGAAACATGCGTGACTTGCCATTAACGTGTGCAGCAGAAATACCAATTTGTAAGTGACAATCGTGAGAAAAATAAAGGAGAAGCAGGAGTACCCGTTCTTCGCCCGGGATATGATTGCTTTCCTTGTCAGTATCATACTAAGGAATAACACTTAAATTAAGAAATTAAAGTTATTGCAAATCCATTGGCGATGAGGATTCCAACTGCCCCCAAAACTCTACCGTACATACTGGTAAGAGTACGGAGTAAATCTCATAATATCTTGGGGTGTTCTCTGCTAGGTCAGGAGACAGGAAAACATCACTAGTGTACAAGTATGTTACACCTCTTCAAGTCAGTGACAGTCGTGAGTGCCGTGTGACTCGGAACCAAGAAAGACTGCGCTAGGGAGGGCCAACAGAAATTATGCGACGAACCAACAACTCTTACGGAGTCAGAGCCGTGAGACCATGGATTCCGCGGAGCACGATCCCCCGACAACTTCTAAGACAGGGCAGTGCATTCATCATACAAATGCAAATAATAGCAAATTAAATATTACGGGGCAAGGCTCTGAACCTCGCCGCAACGGGTTGCAGCAATTTATCGGTTCCTCGCCACTAAGGTCCGGTGCGTCCTCAGGTTGTAGGGCGTAGGGGATGAGAGGCAGTCTCCATGTACGGAAGGCAGATGTGAGCATACGGAATAAGCAGTAGCGGACAGCCGACAGTAGGTGGTCTTAAGAACGTGAATATGTGAGAAGGGTTAATAATGTCTCACTGGCAAATTAACACTAACATTTCATGAAATTTACACAAGGCCTCGGGTTTGGACAGATGCTTTGGAATGGAGACGGACTCAGGATAGGGCCAACTGGCAGGTCCTTCAAACGAGGTAGTCAAACCTTCAGGTTCAATAAAAGGCCCGAAATTTCTTGACTAGCTGAGCGACTATCATATTATAACGAAGGACTCTGCTCCATATAGCTAACCATGTGCCGTGAATATTAACGGTTGCCAAACTACGGCCCGGGTGTCCGATGAGGGCCGTCAAGTGTATCGCGTCAGTCAGTAAGGCAGTATTTAACCTGAACTGATTCGGTTAAGGACGAGCAGCGCAGACAGCGGAACGCATCATGCTGAAAGTGGTAACAGCAAAGGAGAGGAAAAGGGAGACAAATGATAAACTGACTAAAAAAGAAGAGATAAAATGGCAAACTTGCAAAGAGAGACGGGCAGAACGTAAGAAATACATTAAGAAAGCAGGGAAAAAACATGCTATGAAACGTATAAAGAAAAGAAACAGGCTAAGATAGGAGAAGGGAAAAAAGACTTCAAAACAAATACCTTGTGCACAAAGATATGACTGAGAGCACTGCAGCAGTCAGCAACTCTATAATCCCTACAGCATTTACGTAGGTCCGCAGCAGTTTCATGATTTCAGCATTAAGAAAACAGAAACACACATATCAATTACATATATAACCATAAACGACGTAAGTGCGCCTCTGTAAATATTATTAACGTCTTCAAGAATACCAACACGGACCTTACAGCACGCGAGGAGGCTCTGCGAATACAACAGTGGCACATGGCGAGGCGAGAAGAGAGAGGGGGAGGTAGGCAGACAGAAATATCGGGGGCATACCACGCCAACAGCTGGTACGTCACTTTCAAGCACGAAATTCTCCAGAACCTGAGCAGTGCCTGAAAGATTTATTTACTAGTAAAAATTCAATTATTTGTGGGCAAACAGGCCGGGGCGTAAAGCTGAATACCCACCTCTACATAGAGTCAAGATTATGAATGCGTGGAGCCATACGTCCACTCCTCCATACGTATTCATTGCGATGTGCTAAATTAATTAAGCACAGAAATAACTTTATAGGAAAGGAAACACATTACGTCTCCACTACAAAGCCCAACCGGTTAATGCTGTTTAGCGAAATAATAGCTGTTTATTGTGAGAACCATACGGAACACACAAATACACTGTGTGGGCAGAATGGAGTACATATAAATTCAGTTCGTAACTCACAGGAAACACATTATGGCTCCGGTATAAAGCCCAACCGGTTAATGCTGTTTAGGGAAATAATCGTTGTTTATTGTGAGAACCATACGAAACACATAAATACACTGTGTAGGCAGAATGCAGCATATATGAATTCAGTTGTTACCACACAGGAAACACATGACATCTCCGCTACAAAGCCCAACCGGTTAATGCTGTTTAGGGAAATAATCGCTGTTTATTGTGAGAACCATGTGGAAAACATAAATACACCATGTGGGCAAAATGCAAAGTTTTAATATGTTAAAGCAGGTGGTACATATAGTTACCACTGTGCTTTAAAGGGTTAATGGAACGGGATAACTCTACACCACAAGGGGGAGAAGAACTGGATATTACACAGCGGGTTACCACTCGACGGGAGTGTTCAGTGCAGTCCAGTCCAGCCGTCGCAACACAACGCACTTCTCTTCAATTAATCTTAAATCATTCTCCTGTGAACACTCAGGTCCCATAAGCTGTATTTCCTCGTCAGATGAAATTTTCAAAATGAAATGCAAATATAAGGCACATATCGTTCAATTTAGATTTCCCAGGACTACAAATTTGAGGTTCTCACGGTGGTCACTATGGTGATTACTGTGGCGCCATTCGAGAGGTACCTGCTGCTTCCAACTTACACCAGACTACACGGCGTCATATCCATTGACAAGACAGTAATCTTCAAACTTAATATGAAGTGCGTGTCTGAATTCTGTCTGAACCATTTCTGTGGGTATGTAACGCCTCGAGCACGCACCCTTAGGCTAGTCGTCCATTGGAAGCGGAAACCTGCGAACTGTGATTCGGCCGAATCTGTTCGTCCGAATTCGTGCGTTCACTGCGCGTCCTTTGGCTGCGTGTTCGGCCGATGCCATTCGCGTTCTGTCATGGCGCTGTCTGAAGATTTATGTGATCTGTACGCGTTTGATACTCCTTTACTGGCTAGGTGACGAGCACAGAATAGGAGAAAAGAGTGGATTAGTGGAATTTTATCAAAAAGACAAACGTTTGATGAATTTTCTCATATATGGAGTGATTTACAAGAGGACGAGTCACAGTATTTTGGTTATTTTCGCATGAAGCAAGATACATTTGAATACACATTAAGCAAAGTATATCAGTTGAAGAAGTACAGTAACTTCCGAGAAACTATTTCACCTGAAGAACGCCTAGCTGTAACGTTAAGTTAAGGATTTGATAAGAGTTTGAGAAAACAAAATATTACATCGATGTTATATTATTCTTGCTTCTTAGTGATTACATACAAACCGTTGTTTCTACAAAGGATCGAAATTACTATGATACACAGCGGCACTGTTCTTGTCTGTTACAAATTCATTGCTGTGGGAACTATTATGGGAACTGCGTGTCGATTCAAGGGATAGAGGCGAAACATTTGACGTGGACATCACGCTGCTGTTTCGATCCTCCTGTTCCTGCAGTAAAACATCCATCAATTTCATGCGTAATCGCAGCTGTCTTTCTTCAGGCAAGCTCATCAGAAATTGATAGTCACTATCCTGCTTCATTTGAGAGCTCTTTTCGAAGTAGCTCAACTTTTTAGATTCTATTTCGAAGAATTTGTCATCGTAATTAATTCTTTTCTTTCCTCTTTTTAGCGGACTTTTGAAATGCTCTTTTTGTGCCGGAGACGTATTTACAGGTGCATCATTCTCGATATCTGATTGAAAATCTGGAGTAGAAAATGCATCATTATATTCACTTTGTGTTGTAATATTATCAGTGCCTGTCTCAATACAGGCGTCCGCAATGTCAGGAACACTACTCGACAGATTTCTCGGTTGAACAGTATCA